CAAACAGGAAGCCGATGTGGACATGGAGCAGCTAACAATTTTTTTACACAGCCATCCCACAAGGGACCATCATAGGCAAAAGAAGGCGAGGCTGGCGATGTAATGGATTAATCATTCGTAAGGCTCAGACATTGACATACAACTGAAATATATGAAGGGTCTCGTCTGGTGCTCAGCTGAGAAGTGGCACTACTACCAGACCACTTCAGGGAAAAAAAATGATGATAATTCTCTCCCTAAACCTCAAATGGAACTCTGATATTGATCTATTGGTAAGATAAAAGGCTGGGAAAATGGTTGGTTTATTACTGGTTGTTACAGCAAGTATCTAACTCCCTCTGCTATATTGGGCTATAAGTTTTTTAGCCACCCTTGATTACAGCAATTTTGGCTTGTCTCTTCTTTTTTTCTTTTTCAGACAATACTTTGTTATTGGGATGTATCTTAGAAGTTCTTGAATCTGGTCCTTTCCAAAGCAATTTACCCAAACATATTTCTGATATATTGGTGATGCTTTACTAATACATCTTCGTGATACGGATACCTGACCTTATAGATCAACAAAGTCGAACATACAATAGAATTTACATACGAAATTGAAGAATAAAATTCTTTACCTTCCCTAGATATCAAGCTACACTGCGTTAACAATAGTTAAAAACTTCATGTCCACCGGAAATCAACAAACAAAAAATGATCTAATAAATTTCTATTCTCCTCGTAACAACAACATAAAATCCGGTATAATCATCGGATTATACTTAAGAGCACTCAGAATTTGCAGCCCTCAATATATACATGAAGAGAAATACATTAAAAAAAATTTTCAAGCTTAATCTGTACCATAATCATTTTATATTCAATGCGAAAAAAAAAAACGCTCATAAAATATTCCAAAACAGAAAAAACAAACCCAATGAATAAAAAATATGTTGTCCAATCAACTGATACTATCACATCGGCAATTGAAAAGAAGTTATCTAAACTCGACATAAAATATGTTGCTACATCTAAAACAATAACATACTAAGTTAATACTAAACAAAACAATAAGCTAAAACTTGAAGGAGGAATTTACTCAATCACCTATAATAATTGTCATAAAAAATACATAGGAGAAACCTCAAGAAATTTAAATAAAAGATTATATGAACATAAAAGGGATATTTCACAAAACAATACTAAATGCGTTGGTTGCCGACTGTAACGAAACTGACTAGAATTTCAACAAAGAAAATACTACTCTGATCAAAGGAGAAACAATTCACTACGTCTAGAGAGTTCCTTGATCGCAAAGACATCCACAATAAATTTGCGCCCTGGCAGAACTTCTATCATCACAGTGTGGGATATCTAATACTAAAAGTGGCGGAAACAAAAAGAAAAAAGAATCTAAATGAAATCGGCTAGATTACATAAGAAAAAATCCATGTAAAATTCCCATCATACCTTGTTCGTGCGCATGTGTAGTTACACTAACATTACAAATTTAATCCGATGAAGTCCTAAATGACGAAACGTGTAACACGATTTTTTTCTGATTTGTCGTTCATTTTTCCCCAATATTGTTTTTTTGACAAATAAAAAAATTATGTATTTCATATTATATATATAATTATTTTGGGAAATATATATTATATTGCTTTATATATATTATATATATATATTATATATATGTATACCTATATATCTATATATATACTTCAATTTATATATTATATATATTATATATATATCTATATATCAATATATATATATATATATATATATATATATATATATATATATATATATATATATATATATATATATATATATATATATATATATATATATATATATATATATATATATATATATATATATATATATATATATATATATATATATATATATATATATATATATATATATATATATATAAATGGTTTTTCAAAATCATGTAATTTATCCGTGTCTGAGTATGACGATGAACTACATCCGACAGAGAGCTCTCTGATCGGAAGGTTTTAGAGTTTGGAACCTTTTGTTAAATGTTGTTGTTTCTAGGTTCACCTTGGGTGATTTAATGCCGACATCATTTCGGGATAAAAGCTATGAAAATAGGATAAAATCCGCAATTTTGGTTTGGTTAAAATTTTATTTAAAAAATATCAATCTCATTTAAATATTAATGCCGCCAACATTTATATATATATATATATGAATATATATATATTCTTATAATTTACCAGCAATTGGTTTTTGACACTCGACAGAAAACCTCTTTACAAAAATGGGTCAATGAAACCTCAACCTATAAACTGATTATGAAAAGAATACATATTCTTTATTCAGATTGAATCAATTCAAAAATAGTTATACTACCCCATATGAGGTCAATGGCTTTTGTAATGTAATATATATATATATATATATATTTTATTTAATACGATATAAATTTAGGCAATAGACTCGTTTCAAAATAACCGAATTTTTGATTTGCTAATCAAATCAATCTCGAGGGAAAAAAAAAGGTTTTAAAAAAGAAAGAGCTACAAACATGAACTTCTGTCGACAAAAATCGCACAGATGCAGGTCTGAAGCCCAAAGAAAAAACCCCGATACGAGTAAGCAACTAACAAAAGAGCTCAATACATTTATTTATTTATATATATATATATATTACTCCATAGAAATAATAAGAATAAAAGCTAAAGCTAGAAATATAAAACAAACTTAGAGCTTAATGGAAAATTCGACAGAACTTGATTATTTTATATTACTAGCTAAAACGACGCTATATCTGGCGGCATGTAAGCTAGCTCCTGTGGAGGGATCATGATTTGGGCCTTCGGCTTGTTCAGGAGTTTGAGAGTCCCTAAGTCTCTGCATGTTTTCAGTGATGGAAACCCTCCTGGCTACCGTTAGATCTGGGTTTTCATTTTCTCTGGGCATTCTTTTATTCGCAGTAATGAAAACTTAAGAATCCAAAATTTCAGGATTGCGGTTCCGGATCCGAACCGGAATGTCTTTACTTTGCTCAATGGTGTTGGCCTGATTCGAAAATGGTATGAAATATTGGGCTACGGCCTTTGGGAGTAAAGTTGAAAAAGTGTGACACACTGACATCTGTATTTATTTCTATAGATTAATACAATAATATCAAAATTTCTACTCAGAGTTCCACGAATAACAATTATCATTGTATGTATGTAATATATATATATATATATATATATATATATATATATATATATATATATATATATATATATAAATAGTACATACATATATAAATTTTTGCATATATATAATCTGTAAAGCCATGTATATTTATATATGATTATATATATAAAAAATCTGTAAACATACCTCATATATATTATATATATATATATATATATATATATATATATATATATATATAAAACCTGTAAATGCATGAGTAGTGTTATATATATATATATATATATATATATATATATATATATATAACCTGTAAATGCATGATATATATATAAAATGCATATATATTAATTCAAATATTATATATATATATATATATATATATATATATATATCAGATGTAACAGTGAAATTCTAAATTCGTGTAACAGCATAATTGTCCATCACACAAAAATGTTTAATATATATATATATATATATATATATATATATAAATACTAAACTGGGTTTCTTTTACCAGATTTTCCGATAAGACGTTTAGCCATCTTGATACTATTTGTTGTAAAAATCACAGAAAGTTATTCTGCTAGAAAGAGAACAGGTCAAAATCGTTTTGTGTTAATCCCATTGACTTATCAAATGAGCAACGGTGAGAAGAAAGAGATCATTCGGGCCTTCGTTAGTGGTACCAAAATATTCATAATCTAGCTTTTTATCTTCAAAGTCCATTCAAGAACCATCAAGAGAACAGTGTATAAGTATATAAGAGGGAAAACTAGAGAGGAAAGCTGGATTAGAAGGTCACAACAGGAGGATGGATCATCAACCAAAGTAATCCATTAGAAAAGATGCAACTCAATCCATAAGAGATTTGACACATGAGAGAAGAGTTTCAGCGATGGCAGTCCAAAAAAACAGTGAAAAAATACTTGAAAAAGAAATCGTACGTAAAACCTCTGAAGAAACTTGTTACCCCAGGACAGAATGTTAGAAGTTTAAAGAGGGCGAAGATCATCTTGAATAAGCTGAAAAATGATCCCGGAATATATATGTTTGAACTTTATTTCAATCCTTCATGAGCTTCCGAACCTTAGCTATGATTAATTAATGATGAACATTTTTTTTTATTATCAATTTCATTACGATTCTTCTGTTAAGCTTGGAGAGTAATTATAAATTCTTATTCCTCAAAGTAGACTCCAATACTGTTATAAAAACCTCGAAGAATTCCAGTAAGATATCTTTAATCATTTCTAAGATACAATAGTTTAAATCTTAATCTAAAAAATGGACAATTTTTACTTTTATACGATTTGGACAATTCTGTTACAACCAGTATATATAACACCTATATGTTTTTATACTTAAAGTATTTGTGCCAAAATGGCGTCTTATTTTTATTTGCCGGAGTGTATACTTTTTATGTGTGTGAAAGTATATATATGAATATTTTACCTGTATATGATAATGTTTTTTTTTATTTTATCGATATTTGCCTATTTTTATTAATATGCAGCAAATCGTACCTGTAAATAAAGGTGGCATTTGTGGGAACGCTTGTGGAAGCCGTTTCGATTTTAAAACAACCACTCCAAAGTAAACTCCAATTTAGTTAACTAAATATGTGTTCTTTTCTGTATTACATACATGTAAATAAACTATAATAGAAAAAAAATATATATATATATATATATATATATATATTATATATATATATATATACATAGAGAGAGAGAGGTTTTATTCCAACGCCATTCTATTATTTACATTGATATGGGGCTACGTTTTATAATGATACGTATATAAACATGCGTTTATCACTATAGGGGCATATGTTTTGGCAGAGACATTATCTATGCAGTTATTTTTCTCAGCTTCTCCACCTCTCTCCTCGTATGTATCTATCTCGATCTCTCTATCCACCTCGTCCAGTTCCTGTATACGTATCTATCCACCTCGTCCAGTTCCTTTCTAGCAATCTCAGTGTTTTCATGTTTAATTCTATTAATACTTGTCTATGTATCTACATATCCCAGCTTACACGCATCTATCAACCCTATTATATCTACATCTCCACCTTCGATTGTTCATATTTATTGATCTTAATATATTCATCGCGCAAACACTACGGTCTCAACCTGTTACCTACTGAGATATGTATAACAGTTTTATCTCGTCTTAAGATTCTATTCTTTCTTCGTCTTGTGTATTTTAATCTTTCTATGTCTCTATCTATCTACCTGTCTTTTTTTCGCGGTGGAAATATTTACAAACGTTTTTTTTTCCTTTTATCGTCTACTTCCGCCATCCCACCTTTGTACATATACGCATGCGCACACACATATTCAAGTTTTTTTTGTTTTTTGTTTTTTTTAATCGCCTTTCTACAACTCGTATTCATTCATTCACTTTTTCATAATTCCATTTTTTTTTATTGCTCTCGCTCTGATTCTTTTTTTCTTTCTCTATCTTTTATTTCTTCCCCCCACCTTTAAACTTAAGCGGTTATTTTTTTCTATTCTTTGAAAGTTTTTAATGATTTTTCTCTACATTGATTTTCTTTGTTACTTATCAACATGTCGATTACAAAATATATTGCAGCCTCTCAATAAAACGTGAGATAGAAATATATATATATATATATATATATATATATATATATATATATATATATATGGATGGATTACTGTGAGTTTGAGACCCTGGGTTTCACGGTCTCTGCGATCGTCAGAAAAACTGATTCATTTTTGAAATGTTGGATTTATTTATGGTTGCCTATATCAGTGTTTTATATTTATATTCAAACACATTTTACATACATATATATGTGTGTGTGTGTGTGTGTGTGTGTGTGTGGGTGTGTGTGTGTGTGCCTATCTTTCTGAGATGAAGTATTGTAACTATTTACATCATTCGGGCTGTTACTCTCAACTTTATTGCCATATTCACGATGTTTCGGCTGTTGTACGCTCCGACCTTCTTCAGGTGAATGGAATTTTGGACCGAACTATTTATTCAGTCGACGCGGGGTAGATTTTTCTAATAGCAAAAAAGCATGGTATGTGGAATTAAGACAATCTACCCCCGTGGATAAAATAAAGGGTTTGGTCCAACATTCTTTGGTAGGGTTTCTTGGTTGAGCTAAGAATTTTCAGCATATACTTGCATCACTTTTTCTAGAAATTATATATATATATATATATATATATATATATATATATATATGAGATAGAGATTTGTATGTATTAATGAAAAGAGGATGGACTTACGGCGCATATCTTCGCTTTGCATAGACTTACGATAGAGAATCGAAGGCCTAATGATAGCACTTACAAACTGGACTACAGGAGCTTGTTAACCATTGCATGGAAAACTAACAATTGTTTTCTACACATCTCTCAGTATCATTTCTCCTCTATATATATATATATATATATATATATATATATGTGTGTGTGTGTGTGTGTGTATGTGTGTTTGTACTGGAATCAAATATAGATGTAAATCCGACAGATTGACAGGATAAGTAATAATTAAGGAAACGTTTATAAAATTAACATGTTTCGATTTTACTTAAGCTTCATCAAAATATTTTGGGAAAAAGTGTTATGGACGCGAAAGTTCCGGTAGATTTGAGTTTTGGGTTGTTTGTAGATATCATGTGTTTATGTCTCGGCAGGTTTAGCATGCGGATTTGCGTGTCTGGATTATAAAAACACACACACACACATATATATATATATATATATATATATATATATATATATATGAAGACTAAGACTAAAATGTATGGTGTGAAATGGCTTCAGGCAAAAAAAATCAAAACATAAAATGAAGTAAATTCGAGATGTATATATTCATGTTATATGCGCGCGGAAATCACACTTTATACACACAGACACAAGGAAACTAATTTTTGCGTTGAAGAATTTTTCATCGGTTCATATATATGGATTGTGTGTGTATATATATATATATATATATATATATATATATATATATATGTGTGTGTGTGTGTGTGTGTGTGTGTGAAAATATATACAAAATAGGAAAGAACTCGTTAGGTAAATAATCCAAAGTTCTTTAGTATTTTGTTATTATTTTTAAAATAGTGTCATACACACACACACATATATATATATATATATATATATATATATATAGAAATAAAAAAACAAACTGTTATTTGTTGAAACCTCCTGAACAGTGGCTTGAACAATTACAAAACCATTTACGACTCGAAGTGTTGACTATAACATCAAGCAGTTGAGTGACAAATTTTATTTGTATTATACATACACACACACATATATATATATATATATATATATATATGTGTGTGTGTGTGTGTGTGTGTGTGTGTGTGTGTGTGTGTGTGTGTGTGTGTTTTAAATGAACACTGGTTGCGTGTTTTTTTTGGGGGGGACCAAGGCGCCTTTCGGCCATCTCTTCTTCAGGGACCAACGTTGACAAAATTATTGTATCAGTATTGATCCCCTGAAGAAGTGTTGGCCGAAAAAAGCCTTGCTTCAAAAAACATTAAAAAAAATGAACGCTAAACATTGTTTGTTTCTTTAAAACAATCTATGCATTCTGTGGTATTAAATTATATATATATATATATATATATATATATCCAGGATATGTACGCACCTATCTATAAGTATACATTATAATTTCCTTTACTAAGGAAAAGGATTGTTTTGTTTATGCGGTGCGTTGTGTATTTGGTCGTCAGTCGTATGTTTACCGTTTCCGTCTCTTTCTGCACGTATTTTACGCACGTATATGATGCCGAAGAGGTGATTATGATAGCTACACCGACAATTACTGGCCTGTTTTTCTAATGAAACCTTGAAACACATACTCGCCTAGAGGATTATTATACAACTACAACTTCGTTCAAGGGAGTTTCAATCCAAAAATTAAATTTTAAATTTCAACGAAAAAAAAAAAAAAAAAATCTGTGGAAACCTTTACGTACGTTAAAAATACAATATCCATATAATTATCATTTATAAACAAAAGATATATATATATATATATATATATATATATATATATAGCGAAACGTCAACAAAAAGAAAAATAAAATTTTAGACATGATTCATCTGTTTTTTCACGTATTTGATGCAACATACTTATTTTGGTTATATATGTATATACAGAAATAATCTGTAAAAAATGTCAAAGTTTAACGTACCTTGTTTTAAGTATAGCTAAAATAACTAATGTGATTTCAGGCATTACTGTAAAAAATCAGTTAGCAAATGTTTTCCGTGAACTGCAAAATTGTATTACCCTTTGTATTGCTAATGATGGATGACATGTGGAAAATAAAATAAAATTTCAATAAAACCTTAAAAAATATAGATTTACGTCTTTGTAATCCTTTTCACAAATTATTTCTATCGCAAATACAAATAAAATTATAAATTTTTTAAAGTGCACACGAACTTTATGGACACCCTGTGTGTGTGTATATATATATATATATATATATATATATATATATATATATATATATATATATATATATATATATATGTGGGGAATATGACATAAATTCCGTACATCAATGATGGGTAACTGAATGACAAAATCTAAAAAGATCTCCGTGTATAATTGTAGCGACGTTCGTTTCTATTTCGTTCTCGCCACATACATATATGTGATTCCCTGAATAAAAACATTTAGTCTGACGAAGTTGTTTCGAAAGACGAAACGTGTCACATAAGATTTTAACCATTTTGTCATCCATAGGTGCGCGCGCGTGTGTGTGATAAATGAGACTAACCGATTCCTTTAAATTTCGATGAATTCCTACGGCAGTCGAATTCGTCAACAAAAGGCTCAATAGAATTCTTTCTCTTTGTATGCTACCTAAATTCACTACAGTTAGTACATTAAAACAGTCTGTCTGTGGATGACATTATTTTTATATATATATATATATATATATATATATATATATATATATATATATATATATATATATATATACACATACATACATATTACTTAAACGTTATTTTAGTAGATACTCATATTTGAGTAGCGGTTTCGTTTATTTATTAAACAGTATATTTATTTTATTTTCTACCGGTCTGAATATTCGAGATATGCAGGCCGACAGACGAAAAATAAAATAGTGTTTAATGGATAAACGGAACGTCTACTCAAACACTAGTAACCACTAAAAATCTCATTTAACTAATAATGTCTGTCGAATTGATAAATATAAAAAATACATCCCTTTATCCTTGTTTCCATTTTTGTTTCGCTAGCTTTTTTTCAAGAAAAGACGGTGTAGAAATTTTTTTTCGAAGGGGCTTATCAATACTTGTTCGCTGCGTACTAATACACAGACTCTGCTGTGGTATGCAACAATCAAACAGGGAAAGACGTCTTTATCCTTATCTGTGTCAAGATGATATTTGCATTTTTTTACCTTAACCCCGCCACCCCCTCCTCTACACAGCCATTTGGCCAGAACTCTCTCAAGCATATAACATTTCAAGGCATATATATATATATATATATATATATATATATATATATATATATATATTCCACGCATCACATAAAAATAAACATACACTTGAAAAGGTACGAACTTATACAAACACATTCGTTAAAATTGCTGGCACACTCACTATGTTTGTAATTCAGTAAATTATCTGCATTGGCGGGGGGACATTTTTTTTTTTTTTTTTTTTTAATTTCTTTCACTTACCGAACATTCGCCAGAGTATGTCTTCGATTCCTGTTTATCCTCTGTAAATGAAGATCACTTATAGTTCCGATTTCAGCCTGTGACATTTTTATGAAGGTTTTATTTTATTTTATTTTTTTTTTTTTACTTTCCCGTCTTAATTCTTAATATGCGTAGAATGCTGTTCTGCCCGCTTTGTTTACAATGACGATTTCCAACACATAGACAGCGGTGTAGTAGTAATAATGGTACTATTGAAAACACAAAGTATAGTAAGAAGGTGCAGACGTTAGCTTTCCTTAGTATGTATCTGACTATGTGTATGTGTAATTACTGTGATATCAATTCATCTAGAGAGGTACGATACGGGCTTGTGTAAGCGCCCCGCGTTGCCGGAGCAAAATCCCGACTTGTGGGTGGTGGAGGGCTGTAAACGGAGAGGGAATGGGTCAGTACTGGTTAGACACACTAGATTTTCCAGTGTTTTATATGCATACATGTATGTGTGTTTTTGTGTGGGGGTGTGTGAATATTTTCTGTTTCATTTTTGTGTATACGTGTGTGGATATAGTCTGTGTAATATCTTGCTTAGCTGAAGCCGGTAGCGAGCTTGTGTAGTACGCTCTGATAGTAAGCTCCGATGTCGGGAGATAAATGAAAGAAAAGGAGAGAGGAAGAAAGGAAGGAAAAGGGAGAAGAGAAAGGAGGAAAGAAAAGGTAGAAAAGGAAGAAAAGAAAGGACAAAGAAAAAGGAAAAAAGGACAAAGAAAAAGAAAAGGG